AGCCAGTCATCCAAACTTACAGTCCAAGCCAGTCATCCAAACTTACAGTCCAAGCCAGTCACGCTCACCTCCCTAGTGGACTGGCTCAATTATTGCCGCCTTAACCTCACACAACTTTCACAAACTTTCCTCTTTCCAAAATTACATTAGGGCCAGAAATGTTTAAAATAAGCAAGAGTTTGTGTGGACCTGACTTGACCCTTGTTCATGTGGACCTGACTTGACCCTTGTTCATGTGGACCTGACTTGACCCTTGTTCATGTGGACCTGACTGACCCTTGTTCATCTGGACCTGACTTGACCCTTGTTCATGTGGACCTGACTTGACCCTTGTTCATGTGGACCCTGACTTGACCCTTGTTCATGTGGACCTGACTTGACCATTGTTCATGTGGACCTGACTTGACCCTTGTTCATGTGGACCTGACTTGACCCCTAGTTCATGTGGACCTGACTTGACCCCTTGTTCATCTGGACCTGACTTGACCCTTGTTCATGTGGACCTGACTTGACCCCTAGTTCATCTGGACCTGACTTGACCCCTAGTTCATCTGGACCTGACTTGACCCCTAGTTCATCTGGACCTGACTTGACCCCTTGTTCATCTGGACCTGACTTGACCCCTTGTTCATCTGGACCTGACTTGACCCTTGTTCATGTGGACCTGACTTGACCCTTTGTTCATCTGGACCTGACTTGACCCTTGTTCATGTGGACCTGACTTGACCCTTGTTCATGTGGACCTGACTTGACCCTTGTTCATGTGGACCTGACTTGACCCTTGTTCATGTGGACCTGACTTGACCCTTGTTCATGTGGACCTGACTTGACCCTTGTTCATGTGGACCTGACTTGACCCTTGTTCATGTGGACCTGACTTGACCCTTGTTCATGTGGACCTGACTTGACCCTTGTTCATGTGGACCTGACTTGACCCTTGTTCATGTGGACCTGACTTGACCCTTGTTCATGTGGACCTGACTTGACCCTTGTTCATGTGGACCTGACTTGACATTGTTCATGTGGACCTGACTTGACCATTGTTCATGTGGACCTGACTTGACCCTTGTTCATGTGGACCTGACTTGACCCTTGTTCATGTGGACCTGACTTGACCCTTGTTCATGTGGACCTGACTTGACCCTTGTTCATGTGGACCTGACTTGACCCTTGTTCATGTGGACCTGACTTGACCCTTGTTCATGTGGACCTGACTTGACCCTTGTTCATGTGGACCTGACTTGACCCTTGTTCATGTGGACCTGACTTGACCCTTGTTCATGTGGACCTGACTTGACCATTGTTCATGTGGACCTGACTTGACCATTGTTCATGTGGACCTGACTTGACCCTTGTTCATGTGGACCTGACTTGACCATTGTTCATGTGGACCTGACTTGACCCTTGTTCATGTGGACCTGACTTGACCATTGTTCATCTGGACCTGACTTGGACCCTTGTTCATGTGGACCTGACTTGACCATGTTCATGTGGACCTGACTTGACCCTTGTTCATGTGGACCTGACTTGACCCTTGTTCATGTGGACCTGACTTGACCCTTGTTCATGTGGACCTGACTTGACCCTTGTTCATGTGGACCTGACTTGACCATTGTTCATCTGGACTGACTTGACCCTTGTTCATGTGGACCTGACTTGACCCTTGTTCATGTGGACCTGACTTGACCATTGTTCATGTGGACCTGACTTGACCATTGTTCATGTGGACCTGACTTGACCCTTGTTCATGTGGACCTGACTTGACCCTTGTTCATGTGGACCTGACTGACCCTTGTTCATGTGGACCTGACTTGACCATTGTTCATGTGGACCTGACTTGACCATTGTTCATGTGGACCTGACTTGACCCTTGTTCATGTGGACCTGACTTGACCCTTGTTCATGTGGACCTGACTTGACCCTTGTTCATGTGGACCTGACTTGACCCTTGTTCATGTGGACCTGACTTGACCCTTGTTCATGTGGACCTGACTTGACCCTTGTTCATGTGGACCTGACTTGACCCTTGTTCATGTGGACCTGACTTGACCATTGTTCATGTGGACCTGACTTGACCCTTGTTCATGTGGACCCTGACTTGACCCTTGTTCATGTGGACCTGACTTGACCCTTGTTCATGTGGACCTGACTTGACCCCTGTTCATCTGGACCTGACTTGACCCCTAGTTCATGTGGACCTGACTTGACCCTTTGTTCATCTGGACCTGACTTGACCCTTTGTTCATGTGGACCTGACTTGACCCTTGTTCATCTGGACCTGACCCGAGAAGGAAGAACCAAAGTAAGAACACTCACCTAACCCAACAAGATCCCTTAACCTAACCTTCTTAGCAACCGGTTACCAACCTCTCAAGAACCAGTTAATATGCTTTACATCTTGGGAATATTTTAAGAGCAGAATGCAATTGTCAAAGAGAGAAAGAGAGATAGAGATAAAGATAAAGATAGAGAGACAACCAGGCAGGCAGACACCCAACTCTCGGAACTCTCTCCAGGTAAATTCCAGGTAAACCCACACCCAGACCGACGCCCACATTAAAAAACAGGTTCTTCCCCTCGACATTCTGAAAAGAATAGGAAAACCAAATGAAAATCTTGGTGAGTGTGGCTAGTCTCTCACCTGTTAATTAACAACCTGGCACCTGATCCCCCGTGCTAAAACCTCTCCAATCTCCCACCAGCCAATCCTGGCTCCCCCCACCCCAATCTCCCACTTCATTCCCCTTCTTCTCTACTAGCTGCCAGATTTCTTCAGCGACTTTGCTTGCTACATGGGGACAGGCAGCCAGGTGTTCATGGCATCTGAGAGGGCAGAGGTGGGTGTGGGAAGTGGGACAAGCAGCTGTTCTCACAGGTCACGCCACACGTGCATATGTAGGTTCCACATGTGCACGTGTGGAGGCCATACATAGCCCTCAAGGGCCTCCCACCTCTCCTCCCATGAGGAAAATGGCGTGTCCAAGAAACCTGATGCATTTGCACGTACCTTTGGAAGAACCAAAGGAACTACATACACCCACATACACTCGTATACACACACACACACACACACACACACACACACACACACATAAACAAGCCCACACCTATCCACCTACCTGACGTCATGGGGCACTAGTTAACACACTGTGGATGGGGCTCGACCTTGGGTACTTGACACAGGTTATCATAAGAGCAGGCTAGCCACCAGACCGTCCACACCCACGGCACCAACAACGTCTGGCCAGGCGAGGCGAGGCATAAATAAAGAATGCACTCCGTCAAGGAAGGAAAAAGCATTAAGTGAATTTATATATACATTTGGCTTCAGGTTTGAGTAAGTTAAGCAGTGTAGAAAATGGGTTCAAGGGCATTACTGTTTACAACACCCGTCACTTCCAGCTGTAAAAGTTTACTATACGGGTTGCAGCTAGCTTAGCCACCTGGCCACGACCTGCAGTCTTCTGGCGGGGGGAGCCGGTCGGCCGAGCGGACAGCACACTGGACTTGTGATCCTGTGGTCCCGGGTTCGATCCCGGGCGCCGGCGAGAAACAATGGGCAGAGTTTCTTCCACCCTGAATGCCCCTGTTACCTAGCAGTAAAATAGGTACCTGGGTGTTAGTCAGCTGTCACGGGCTGCTTCCTGGGGGTGGAGGCCTGGTCGAGGACCGGGCCGCGGGGACACTAAGCCCCGGAAGCACCTCGAGGTAAGGTGTCCTTTGTGTTATATGTTCTGTCTGTGTCTGTCTGTCTCTCTTGATCTGTCTCCAGACGCCACAGTCAACCAGCCAACCTCTTACCTACTTTGCCTAGCCCAACCACTTGGGCTGGACGGTAGAGCGACGGTCTCACTACATGCAGGTCGGCGTTCAATCCCCCGACCGTCCAAGTGGTTGGGCACAATTCTTCCCTCCGTCCCATCCTAACTCCTCATCTTCATCCTTTCCAAGTGCTATATAGCCGTAATGGCTGAGCGCTGTCTTCTAAAATTCACCATTCCCCCCAACCCCCCCTCCCCCACCACCCAGCGACCCCCCCCACCCAGCGACCCCAATCTAAACACCCCCTCTACAGCTCCTGTAGAGGTCAATGAGACCCTCTACAGGTCTCATTGCCTTCAAACGCCCCGAAAACACAGCCTCCTTATTTCGGCTTCCTCCAAAAACTGATGTTATCACTTCTGACAAAAACCCACCTCCTTGCGTCTTGATCTTACCTGTAATATCCTCAGCCCTCATTACCCACCTGTGGCCGCCACTTTGCAGTGTCCGCCAGATTCAACACCTTTCTTATCTTACCAAAAAATGCAAATGATAAAAAAATTAAAACAGATAATAGCAAATAAGATACTTTTTGTGAGCGGTTATGCGCGGTAAGTGAAGGTTTGGAAAGCCGTCAGGCAAAGTCCCAAGGGAGAGTTTCGGGGGGGAGGGGGGGGAGGAGATTCCAGTTCAGTGACGTCATTTGTAGTAGATTACAGTTATTTGTAACAGGTTCCAGTCGTGTGTAATAGGTTCCACTCGCGCCGAACACTTTCCAGTCGTAATTGGTTCCAGTAACGTGCGACAGGTTCCAGTCATGTGCGACAGGTTCCAGTCATGTGCGACAGGTTCCAGTCATGTGCAACAGGTTCCAGTCATGTGCGACAGGTTCCAGTCATGTGCGACAGGTTCCAGTCATGTGCGACAGGTTCCAGTCATGTGCGACAGGTTCCAGTCATGTGCGACAGGTTCCAGTCATGTGCAACAGGTTCCAGTCATGTGCGACAGGGTCCAGTCATGTGCGACAGGTTCCAGTCATGTGCGACAGGTTCCAGTCATGTGCGACAGGTTCCAGTCATGTGCGACAGGTTCGAGACTCTGCTATCCGGCTTCCATTTCCAGTCTTCCTGCAGAACCGGCGTGCCAGTCTTGGTCTTAAACTAACTGTTGTTCCAACAATCGGTCTCCATCTCTTGTACAATCGACTGGTCGGTAGTTAACTGTCGTAGCGGTGGCCTGTCACTCCATATGGCCACACCCACACCTGCAGACACTCCACAGGGCCACACCCACACCTGCAGACACTCCACAGGGCCACACCCACACCTGCAGACACTCCACAGGGCCACACCCACACCTGCAGACACTCCACAGGGCCACACCCACACCTGCAGACACTCCACAGGGCCACACCCACACCTGCAGACACTCCACAGGGCCACACCCACACCTGCAGACACTCCACAGGGCCACACCCACACCTGCAGACACTATACAGGGCCACACCCACACCTGCAGACACTCCACAGGGCCACACCCACACCTGCAGTGTGGGTGTGGCCTGTGGACGTGATAACAGTATATAATAACATATAAACCCCTCCCCCCGCCCCTTCATGGTTCCTCACACCTGTCACGTGATAATAGTTAATAAATGGAATGCATTCGGCAGTGATGTGGTGGAGATTGATAGTTGAGCGGCGGGCCCAAAGAGCCGAAGCTCAACCCCCTGCAAGCACAGGGGTTGAGTACACACACTGACTCCTCACCCAAGAGGATCTGGATATGACGAAGACTGACTAAATAACCAGACTGAATATCACCCTGGGTACTGAAGGAAGCAGCCGAGGTACTGAGCTATCCCCTGAGCAACAATCTTCCCCACCAGGAGCTCCGGAACTACCGACCTGTGCCATTGACATGTAAACTCTGTCCGACGCTGCGGAGACTAATATGGGGACAAATTATACTTCACTGAGAACAAATATATTGTCTGCAAGGCCCAACATGGCTTCAGTGATGGTAGGTCATGTTTAACGAGTCTATTAGAGTTCTACGACCAAGTGACAATGATAAGCAGGAGGGAGAGAGAGGGAGAGAGGAGAGAGGAGAGAGAGAGAGAGAGAGAGAGGAGGAGAGGAAGAGAGAGAGAGAGAGAGAGAGAGAGAGAGAGAGAGAGAGAGAGGAGAGAGTAGAGAGAGAGAGAGAGAGAGAGAGAGAGAGAGAGAGAGAGAGAGAGAGAGAGAGAGAGAGAGAGACAGAGAGAGAGACACTAATTAAGTATTCCTTAAACGACAGGAAGCATGTGATAGTGTGTACCGTAAAAGGCTCTTATACAAACCTGTGAACAAGACTGGTGTAACTTGTTCAGTGCCAAGCTAGGGGGAAGGGGCTATATATCTATCGGGTGGGAAACAGAGAGCCACTGTGAGAGAGAGAAGGAACACTCAGTACGCTACATAGCGCCGTACTGGGGCAACTCTGTTCCCGATATCTGAACACAACAGCGGAATGACTCCTGTTTATTGTTGAAAATGCAGCCCAACCTCCTAAAATGCTAGCAGTTATAGGATATACCCACTGGACTATACGAGTATAGGATATACCCACTGGACCATATGGGTATAGGATTGGTACGGGTATAGGAAATACCCGTACCAATAGGTACTGTTCATCCTAAAATCGTCCTGTTTTTATCACCGAATCAGACCAGAAGGTATTTTAGAAAAATTTAAAATATAAGTGTATAGAAGTAGCCCAAACCGGTCGAGGCCATGTTACACATGATGTGCAACCTGTGCCGCATCATGTCGCGCGATACATACATGATACATCATGTATCTTTGCCACAGATCATTAGAGAAATAGGCGTGATAGAACCAGCGTTCTGTGTCGCCTCAGACACCCGCCCGCCTTGACCCCAACTGATACACCTGAAGCGATGCCGAACACTCGTTCGATACCCGTTGGTTTAAGTACCGAATAAGTGTTAATGATATTAGCACATATTTGGCATAGGGGTTGTAGGTGAGCACGCCCACACTAGCCGTACGTACGCCTACACCTGCTGTAGGCACGCCCACACGAGCCGTACGCACGCCCACACAAACCGTACGCACGCCCACACGAGCCGTACGCACGCCCACACGAGCCGTACGCACGCCCACACGAGCCGTACGCACGCCCACCACCGTGTCCCACGCTCTCCATATCAAGCTTAACAAATTCTTTCTCTGTGGAACACTGACACCAGATCATTAGTGGGGCAGAGGAACGACTTGGGTTACATCAGTGTCTCCCCCCCCTTCCCCCCTCCCCCCCCTCACACCCCTCACACTACTCCCGAGGTAACTGTGTCACCTGGCTGTGCCACCTGGCTGTGCCACCTGGCTGTGCCATATGGCTGTGTCATCTGGCTGTGCCACCTGGTTGTGCCATCTGGCTGTGCAACCTGGCTGTGCCATCTGGCTGTGCCATCTGGCTGTACCACCTGGCTGTACCACCTGGCTGTGCCACCTGGCTGTACCACCTGGCTGTGCCATCTGGCTGTACCACCTGGCTGTGCCACCTGGCTGTATACCTCTTTACTCTCTAAACAACGAGTAATTATTAATCATTTAATTCAGATTGTACCTATAGTGTATTTTATTTAACTCTCTCACTCACGCAATAAAAAATTAACAAATTGCCACCATTCCTACAGACCGGCCCCTGATCCATCGACTTGTTTGTGAAAGCAGCAAGTCGAGCCTAGAGGAAGAGTCAATATTATTAAATACCGAACGAGACGCGAACCACTAATTGAGTTTTGGGTTTTAATCGGAGCGATACGATCGACATTCCTCTCTCTCTAGCCTGGCTAGTTGATACGGGGTTCGAGACCCATGGGGTGGGGGGATGGGCAGAATAGGGGGGGCTAGGGTCGACATCCTTGGATAGGGGTGGGGGGGGGGGTTGTTAACCATGTACACGCCCACAGCCTGTTCCCCACGCCCACAGCCTGTTCCCCACGCCCACATCCTGTTCCCCACGCCCACAGCCTGTTCCCCACGCCCACAGCCTGTTCCCCACGCCCACAGCCTGTTCCCCACGCCCACATCCTGTTCCCCACGCCCACAGCCTGTTCCCCACGCCCACACTGTCTATTTCCAGCCGCCCACACACACGCCCAGATAGTCTTGTATTCCGCCTATATCACTATTTCTCAGAAGCAATTTCTTGTTTTTCACTCAATTAGCGTATTAACGTTAGCTCTGTCTCCACAGTCACGCCCACAGTCTGTTCCCTACGCCCACAGCCTGTTCTACACGCCCACAGCCTGTTCCCCACGCCCACAGCCTGTTCTACACGCCCACAGCCTGTTCTCCACGCCCACAGCCTGTTCTCCACGCCCACAGCCTGTTCTCCACGCCCACAGCCTGTTCCCCACGCCCACAGCCTGTTCCCCACGCCCACAGCCTGTTCCCCACGCCCACAGCCTGTTCCCCACGCCCACAGCCTGATCCCCACGCCCACAGCCTGTTCTCCACGCCCACAGTCTGTTCTCCACGCCCACAGTCTGTTCTCCACGCCCACAGCCTGTTCTCCACTCCCACAGCCTGTTCCCCACGCCCACAGCCTGTTCTCCACGCCCACAGCCTGTTCTCCACGCCCACAGCCTGTTCTCCACGCCCACAGCCTGTTCCCCACGCCCACAGCCTGTTCCCCACGCCCACAGCCTGTTTCCACGCCCACAGTCTGTTCCACACGCCCACAGCCTGTTCCCCACGCCCACAGCCTGTTCCCCACGCCCACAGCCTGTTCTCCACGCCCACAGCCTGTTCTCCACTCCCACAGCCTGTTCCCCACGCCCACAGCCTGTTCTCCACGCCCACAGTCTGTTCTCCACGCCCACAGCCTGTTCCCCACGCCCACAGCCTGTTCCCCACGCCCACAGCCTGTTCCCCACGCCCACAGTCCCACCCTCACGCCCACAGAAGAGAGCCATCCTGGCTGTGAGGTGCAGTTTGTCATCAGTCCCACGGGATGGAGACGGAGCAGCCTAAGTGCCCAACGCACTCCTTCTCCCTTGGAAAATGGCCCTTTAGAAAATGGTCTTCCAGCAAAATGCTCTTCACCGCAATGGAGACCTATAGTGACAACGTCTCCCAGTGCCTCCCAGTGCCTTACAGTGCCGCAGGAGCCGTCACAGTGACAACCCTGACGTCACAGCCTCGGCTCTAGGCGTCACCACCAGAGGGAAAAAAATGGCGCCTTTTAGCGTAAGAGCGAGTCATAAATCCTTCAAAACCTCGGTGACATGGGAGAGGGATGGGGGGAGGCGCCCCCCATCACCACCCACCACCCACACCACCCACTACCAGCACCACCCCACCACCACCCACCACCACCCACCACCATTCACCAGCACACCCACCACCCCACCACCACCCACTACCAGCACCACCCCACCACCACCCACCACCTACCACCACCCACCAGCCCACACCCACCACCCCACCACCCCACCCACTACCACCCACCACCCACCACCACCCACCACCCACCACCACCCACCACCATTCACCAGCACACCCACCACCCCACCACCACCCACTACCAGCACCACCCCACCACCACCCACCACCTACCACCACCACCAGCACACCCACCACCCCACCACCCCACCCACTACCACCCACCACCCACCACCACCCACCACCCACCACCACCCACCAGCACACCCACCACCCACCACCACCCACCACCACCCACCACCCACCACCACCCACCACCCACCACCACCCACTACCAGCACCACCCACCACCACCCACCACCCACCACCACCCACCACCCACCACCACCCACCACCACCCACCACCCATCACCACCCACCACCCACCACCACCCACTACCAGCACACCCACCACCCCACCACCACCCACCACCCCACCACCACTCGGAACACATATATTTGCCATCCAAAAAGCATTACAAAGTCAGCCAAGACTTGGCAGATGTTTCTTAAGGATCTCCAACTTGCAGCTTTGGCACTGTCGCTTGGCACTGATCAGTGAAACTTTGTCACTGATTAATTAGCCTTTTGCACTAATCAAGGAAGAGTTGTGGCACTGTTCAAAGAAAAGATTGGCACTGTTCAAAGAAAAGATGGCACTGTTCAAAGAAAAGATTGGCACTGTTCAAAGAAATGATGGCACTGTTCAAAGAAAAGATTGGCACTGTTCAAAGAAAAGATTGGCACTGTTCAAAGAAAAGATTGGCACTGTTCAAAGAAAAGATTGGCACTGTTCAAAGAAAAGATTGGCACTGTTCAAAGAAAAGATTGGCACTGTTCAATTACATGATGGCAGTGAACAATGCTACCTTGGCACTGACAGATGCAGCTCTGGCAGTATTCAGTGTACCATACACTACCATTCACAGCATGAGTAGTGTACCATACACTACCATTCACAGCATGAGTAGTGTACCATACACTACCATTCACAGCATGAGTAGTGTACCATACACTACCACTTACAGCATGAGTAGTGTACCATACACTACCACTTACAGCATGAGTAGTGTACCATACACTACCACTTACAGCATGAGTAGTGTACCATACACTACCACTTACAGCATGAGTAGTGTACCATACACTACCACTTACAGCATGAGTAGTGTACCATACACTACCACTTACAGCATGAGTAGTGTACCATACACTACCACTTACAGCATGAGTAGTGTACCATACACTACCGTTCACAGCATGAGTAGAGGTGTACCATATACTACCCCTCCAAGCATGATTAGTGTACCATACACTACCCCTCACAGCATGAGTAGAGGTGTACCATACACTACCCCTCACAGCATGAGTAGTGTACCACAGCATGAGTAGTGTACCACAGCATGAGTAGTGTACCACAGCATGAGTAGTGTACCACAGCATGAGTAGTGTACCACAGCATGAGTAGTGTACCAGAGCATGAGTAGTGTACCACAGCATGAGTAGTGTACCAGAGCATGAGTAGTGTACCACAGCATGAGTAGTGTACCACAGCATGAGTAGTGTACCACAGCATGAGTAGTGTACCACAGCATGAGTAGTGCACCACAAACTACCATTCTCCACCGGCAACAATTCAAAACAATGATTGATCATAAGAGACTTGCCAGGCTTTAACAGCTGTCAAGAAGTTGACAGCATCTGTCCCAACACCACGACAGCATCAATGAGTAAATGATGAGTCGCAATAACGAGGCTGAAGATATGATAAACAAATCACACATCAGATAAGAGAGAAACGAAGACGTTTCGCTCCGTCTCGAACTAAGAAAGATTGGCACTGTTGGGTTTGATTGAGTTGATTGATTGGGTTTGAAAGATTGGAACTATTATCAAGTTGTGTAATGAATCAATGATTCAGGCAACAATCTTTGATTCAGCTTTGACAAGGCTCTTTGCAGGGTGCAAGGACTAAGATTTTTCTTCAGTTCTAATGTATGTGTTTATATTTTGAGGTCAAGTGTTTTACCCAGGAGGCCAGGTCGACGACCGGGCCGCGGGGACGCTAAGCCCCGGAAGCACCTCAAGGTAACCTCAGGGTAACCAAGGTTTGCCTTTTTTGCACTGCCATCATGGAGTCCCCACCTGAAAGGAAACTGGAAAAGGTTCAGAAGTTTGCGACGAGGCTTGTCCCAGAGTTACGAGGGATGGGATATGAAGAGTGCCTGAAGGAACTGAACCTTACGTCACTAGAAAAAAAGGAGAGAGGGGATATAATAGGAACATATAATATACTCAGGGGAATTGACAAAGTGGAAATAGACGAAATGTTCACACGGAATAGTAACAGAACGAGGGGACATGGGTGGAAGCTTGAAACTCAGTTGAGTCACAGAGATATTAGGAAGTTTTCTTTTAGCGTGAGAGTAGTGGGAAAATGGAATGCACTTCAGGAACAGGTTGTGGAAGCAAATACTATTCATAATTTTAAAACTAGGTATGATAGGGAAATGGGACAGGAGTCATTGCTGTAAACAACCGATGGCTGGAAAGGCGGGATCCAAGAGTCAATGCTCGATCCTGCAGACACAACTAGGTGAGTACACACACACACACACACACACACACACACACACACACACACACACACACACACACACACACACACACACGACACACACACACACACACACACGACACACACACACACACACACCACACACACACACACACACACACACACACACACGACACACACACACACACACACACGACACACACACACACACACACACACACACACACACACACACACACACACACACGACACACACACACACACAGTGATGTGGTGGAGGCTGACACCATACACAGTTTCAAATATAGATATGATAGAGCCCAGCAGACTCAGGAACCTGTACACCAGTTGAGAGGCGGGACCAAAGAGCCAAAGCTCAACCCCCTGCAAACACAACTAGGCCAGCACCCCCCCCCCCCCCCCGTCAGCACATTAGAGCTACACATTACTCACCAAGACTTCAAGGGCTCAGGACCAGCCGACCAGCACCGCCATCACTCACCTGAAGGGAAACACAGATATCAAGGTCACAGTTTCAAAGGAACACTCCTTAAAAGATGTATATACAAGTTGTAGTGAAATTATCGCTACATTCAAGCTGAAATCTTTGAATATTTCAGCAACATCTACAAGTGAGTGTTTACTATTTGTGTCGGTAGAATCGG